TGTCAGGCTTGTTATAATAGAAGAACCCTCTTTGGTGATATATAGAACCCTTTTCAAAATGGTTCTGTATAGCACATTTTCCATCAGTCTCAATCTAGTGTTGGCCTGAAACAAAACTGAGTCTTACTCTGAAGGGTTAAGTTACTCTGAAGCCATCAGGGCTCGGTAGTGCTGGCTGCGGTCAGCTGGCCTTTCCGCTGGTTTGTTGAGGTACCAACAAATTCAAAGTGTGTCTAAATGCTGTGTTAATGCAATAATACAACTATAATGAATCAAATCGTAAATATGACTCTTCCAGCCACTGGGCAGGGTCATTCGTCCACTTTGATGGAGGCAGACTGAAACTGAGACTCATCAGGCCCTGTTTCTTTCATTTTTTCTGTATAACAGCACTGTTGATCAGCAATGACATGAGATAACAGTTTGCCTAGGATTTGGGCTCCTGATAGCTGTAAATGAGTAGGGTATTGTTATTTTATGCTATTAAATTGTCAGAGACCTCAGAATTTGTATTTACCGCCAGCTAAAGTGCAGAGTGCCTGGATGCACTGCTCTCATCTCTGTGTGTTGGCGGAGTGGCTTTGGAAGGAGGGGTGACAGTAGGGAGTGGAATTTATTTTGAAAACTACCTGGTTTCTACAGAATATTGTGACAAATCATATTGTGAAAATGTACTGAATTATCGTGATATTACAGTTTTGCCGTACCGCCCAGCTCTATCACATATGATTCATATTAGACGTTCATATTAGACGTAAGGGTCAGCCTACATTGTGATGCTCTATGAAAACAAATGAACCTTGTAGTGTTGTTTAGCTGTCTGCATGTGACTTTTAGCGCTTCTGCCTTAACCCTGACTCACCTCTGCCTTAACCCTGACTCACCTCCCTCGTCTCTTTGGCTTAGCGCAAGAAAACCGGACTGAACTCAAGCTGATTCTGTTTTCAGCTGTGCTAACGTTCTTCAGTCCATGTTTGTAGACAACAGTGTCAGAAACCACAAAATCAAGTCTATTAGAGATTAATGAACAACTCCACACAGTTTGAGGCGAATGAGTGATGCAGGCATGCAGTTAGCATCATGCTACTTGATGTACATATGCTTCTATAACTTATTAGCTAACTAAGTGAACCTCAGACACTAAATGTGCCTTGGTTAACTGGCTACGTCTGGTATTGGGGCGGGGAGCCCTGGGGGGATTATTTTTTTTATCAGACTACTGCTATAAAATAAGGTTTTTTATTTAGTTATATGTCCGAGTGTTATGATGTTACCCGCTGTGGCTGAGCGAGTGAAGAACGGAGCTGCAGTTTGAGCAGACAGGGTTCTAGAAGATAAGAGAAGATAAGCTCTTTACGGCAGCGGGACAGCCGGACCGCCGAGAGCTAATACACACTAATCACTTTCACACAGACCCTCACAAACTGCAGTACACAACCGCTTACACACACACACTCTCACACGCGCACACACACACACACACACACACTTACAATGTATTTGCAATCTTACAAAACCAGCACTGATGTATCTAGAATGGGGGGCCTAGTTGTCTTGGGGGCTAAAGTGCAGTGTTTGGGTTGGGCCAAAAAGATAAAACATGATACAAATAAAAAAAAGATACATTAATGTTACACTGTGATTCGGTACTAAATGGTTTAAAACTGCTATTTTAGAAAATAAGACTGTAATAAGTTAAAATATTAATATGTTTATTCTCTCAAATCAGCCCAAGTCAAACATCCTCATGGGACTCAGAGCGGCTCTGTTACAGAGTGTTTATCAGGAAACGCTACAGTTCACCTTCCTTCTTTCTTTCTTTCTTTCTTGCTCTCTCCTTTTGTTCTTTATCTTTTCTCTCCTTTCTTTTTCCTTTTTCTTTTTTCTATCTCTATTGCTTTAATTTCTCTTTTATTCTCCCCCTCTCTTTCCTCTTTTTTCTTTCTCTTCTTTATCTCTTTAGTTTCTTTCTTTTTTCCTTTTTCTTTCTCTCTCTCTCTTTTTTTATCCCTTTCGTTTCTCTTTCATTCGTTCTCCCCACTCTCCTTTCTTTCTTTCTTTCTTTCTTTCTTTCTTTCTTTCTTTCTTATCTCTGGTTATCTTTTTTTCTCCTGTCTCTTTTTAGTTTTTCATCATTTTTTTAATCTCTTTTGTTTGTTTCTTTCTTATGTTCTCCCCCTCTCTCTTTCCTCCCTGTTTTCTTTCTTGCTTTTTTATCTTTTTCATTTAATTTTTTGTTCCTTTTTCTTTTACTTTCTCACGCTCTATCCTCTTTCTTTCTCTTTCCTTTCTGTCTTTACTCTTCTTTCTCCTGTTTTCTGTCTTTCTTTCTCTTTATCTCTTTTGTTTCTTTCTTTCTGTCTCTCTCTCTCTCTCCCTCTTTCCCCTCTCTCTTTTCGTCCGTACTTTTTGTGTGTGAAAGAGAGAGAGATCATAATAATGTGGAAAATAATGATAGAAAGAAATGTAAGTAGTATTATTTTTGCTATTGTTTTCAGTGTTTTGTAGTAGTTGTCTTGTAACGTGTGTGTGTATGTGTGTATGTGTGTATGTGTAAGTGTGTGAGCGTGTAAGTGTGTGAGCGTGTAAGTGTGTGAGCGTGTAAGTGTGTGAGCGTGTGAGCGTGAATGTGTGAGTGTGTGAGTGTGTGTGTGTGAATGTGTGAGTGTGTGTGAGTGGTGTGTGTGTGTGTGTAATAGGATCCAGCAGTGTTGGCTCGGTTGTTTTTTTCAGAATGGAAACATTATGTCAGAGGAAATCATATACAGCACATTCAGCGCTGCTGTAATGGAACAGCCTGGGAGGATAAAACAACCCATAATGCACTGCACTGGTTCTCTGCGCTTTCCAGAAAAAATCATAATGTTTAATTGGAGAAGTTGATTCATATATGACTTCATATAATAACATCAGTGATGGAAGATACTGATTGTAGAAGATACTGACACTGTCAAATATGGAGAATGATGTGTCATTTAAAGTGCTCTATAATGTTCATATGATCCACACAGTCATTCTGACAGACTGTAATACACTACAGGAAGTGTAGGGGGCGATATGGCTTCTAGTGTTTCATTTAAAAAGAGCGCTATAATGCTTTGTAACGGGGCTTCCCCAAAGTTGAGAATGTTCACCCAATTAGGAGGATAATTTTTATATTGTATACGACTAAATACGCTTGTTTTTCTTTCAAAATTATAGATTTTAAATATTTTAGCAACAAAATATATTGTAATGTTATTAGACACACCTATTTATTCATATGTTGTTTTGTCTGTTTGGCTCTCCACCACAGCATTGACTTTGGACTCCTGAGGCACAAAGTTTGGGCACCCCTGCATCCCTTGATCCAAGTGATCAGTCTGACTGATTGTAATGCACTGAAGGGAGTGTACAGGGTGAATCAAATGATTACTGAAATGATATTTGACAGATTTATTAATCAAAAAATAGCATTACAGAAATAATGCTAAATAATGCCCTAGTAACCACAGATACTGCTAGCTGTGAAACACTTTGGCTTCTTACAGTACACGTCCTCTGTTTTTGCTGAAATGGCGAACTCCTGCGAGGTGTGTGTGAGTGGAGTGTAACAGTAGGTCTAATAGTTAAATGACCATAGTAACATCTGGATGAGGTTAAGCTATTAGCCATTACAATGATTAGCCTGGCGCACAAGGTTTTCACGTCTGCCATGTTGAGTCTGTTGGGTTTAAACACTGTGACTCCTTCATAGTGCTGATTTGTTTTGCGTGACTGGTAGCCACTCTCGCACAAACAGTTCACACTTGTTTTCTGTATCTCACACTAGTGTGCTTTACTTTTTAAGACTTAATTTGCTTATTTATTTGATGTATGATCATATTTTATCATTAACGTGGTAAATTACATCACAGTACACTTTTCTGAGTATATTGTTGAGTATTGTTGAGCTGAGTATATTGTTGATATCCTCAGTACTTAAAGAACGCTGACAAGCGGCATGTTTAATTTACAAAGAGAGCATAATTAGTCATGTGCATGAAATGTTTTTGATACTATGTGCTATGTGGTCATTGTGTATTGTTGTTTTATTATTTATTTTTTAATGTCTTATTTACTGGGGATTTTTTGGGGATTCTTACAACGAATCAAAACTAAAAAAAATTAAATGTTGTAATATTGTGTATCATTTAAAAGTGTAATCGTGTAAGATTTTATTCTGTTTTCACCATATTGTCTAGTAGTGAGGGGTATACCTGTTCTTCTGATATCAAAGTTGAAATTGGGGGCTGTATGGTACACTGAGACAAATGACTTAAGAAGTTTGACGAAGCTTCAGTTGGCTTCTGTTTTTCAGAATGAAACTGCTGCTCCATTTAAGGTGGAACGGAAAATGTAAACAAAAGAAATGGGCGAGTAAGAAAACAACTTCAGCCTTGTAAAAATTAACACATGAAACAGCATTGAGCAACATTTTTGCTGGTTATAAAGCAAAACAGGTTCATCTGTATATTGTTTGGTTTTGTTTTTGCACAGTAAAAGTATTTCAGATTTATGTTAGTTGTTAAAAGTAATTCTTACAGAAAAATGAAGGAATCCCAGAACAATAACCCACTGTTAACCTACAAAAATAGGTTTTACTTAAGCATCTAAAATGATCTTTGGTGTATGAATGTATGTGTATGATATGTGAAAGACCATAAGCAATTTTTGTTATACCATGATACCAACTTTTGGTCATATCACCCATTACTAATATCTCATATCTCCCATTCCTGTTACATGTTTTGGTGGTTCTAACAAAAACCAAATGTACATCCAAATTGCTAACTTTACAGAAGAAGGGAAAAGCATTCTTAAACCTGTGTTAAGTAAAGGTGGCATGTTGGTCTTGATGGGTATCACCATCAGGCTGATATTAGCAGAAAAAGCAGAATATGAATATGCTTATTTTTTTGACTGTAGAGGATGAACTGCATCTCTTAACTGTTCTCACCTCGTATTTTTTGTTTCTTTAGGAAAAGTGTGGGTGCCTAAACAGCAGCCGATCGAGACACGCAAGGAGGAAGTGACGACTCTTGATCCGGAGCTAGAAGAGGCGTTGTCCAGCGCTACTGACACTGAGCTATGTGACCTGGCAGGTGAGCAGATTCAGTACTATGCTTTATGGAAACTAATCAGTGCATCATGAAATTTAAAATTAAATTAAATTAATTTAAATTAAAATTTCAATACCTTTTGTACGTTTCTGAGTTACAGGTGTTCAGATGTATGGAAACACCACATACTCACACAGTACACTTACGCACTGGCCATTTTATCAGAAACACCTAATGTATGCGAAGGTTTAGGTGCCCCACTCGGATGTTTTGTTGATTTTCTAAGTGGAAAGGAGAACATATCGAGTATCGTGAAAATGTCTTAAAGTAATATTTTTGCCATGTCGCCCAGCCCTAGTCGGAGGTGGTCCTATGGTGGTCCTATGGTGGTCCTTTTCCATGAACGAAGGGGGTGGGGGGTGGGATTAAACTGCACAGTAACAGATGGGCTGCACCTATATGGTAGGTGTTTCCAATAAAATGGCCAGTGAGTTTGAGTATTGTTTGAGTATTGTTTTTTTTATTTTATTTTGTCCATTCCCTGTATTTTCAAAGCCATGCTGAATACACTCATATAAACAAAGAAACTACGTACACAGTATTGGACTGAAGACAATAAAGCTCAGTTTATTACAGTTCATCAATGCATTTTCATCTAACGTGAGGTACAGAAACTGCACCACCCACACAGAGACTGCCCCCCATTCCTGCCAGACTGAGCTCTGACTGGATCCTGAACTGTATCAGGAACAGGACTCTGACTGTAACGCTCGGCTTTATAGGCTCTCGCTATACAGATTAGATCTGACTCATGCCCATCATACAGCTTCAGCTCTGAGATTAAATCCACAATGCTTTAGTTCTGAGCTGAGAGCATCTCTCTCAGTATTACTGTCCTTTTTTCCTTTTTTATTCCTTCATCTCTCCTCCTGTCAGGCAGCAGTGTTATTCAGAGTGAGAACGCCCACACTGCTCCCTCTTTACTGGAGAATGGTCTGTTTTTTACCTGACGTTATTGCCAGAAGATTCAGGTTTAACTGGGATAAAATGCTCTGAAGAAAAAGCTACATGTTCTGCCTAAAACCTTCATATATGGGGGCTTTTGATGTGCTTTGTAATCCTTAATATGTTTGTATAGCACAGTCCTTTGCTGGTTTGATGATGATCATCATGATCATCATTTTAAGAATGTAAATAATATGCATATCAAAGTTGTTTAAAAACATTTGCTGTAAATCTTGAAACCATAGTCATTTCATTTAAAAGTTTTTTTTTTTTAATTTTAAAATAAAAATATACTTATTAAAAAAAATAATAATTTTAACACTGAAATATTGCTGATAATAATGATAATAAAAATAATAATAACTCCTGAACTTTAAATAATGTTCATATCAGTTGTTTAATACAAAAAAAGCTGATCAGTAATGATATAATAAAATAATAATGACTGTAAACCTTGAATCAATATGCTTAACATGGTCACTTTTTTGATTATGGTAATAATATTTATCATAGCTTTAACTTTTGAAACAATATGCATGACACTGAAATTTTATTTTATTTTTATCGCTCCTATTATTACATTACAACGTTAAATTGTTTTACAAATAAATAGCAAATGAAAACAACAAAACAGCAGAACATAAATAAAAGTGTAAAAACACTGAATAAGGACCGTAATTCATAAACAGAACAAAACCGGTAATTAATTTTAAAAGATATTATGAAAATAATAAAAGAAATGGTAATAATGGGTAAAACAGGGCGGTGTGTCTTTAACTGAGTAATTGTTTTGTGAACTGAGATGTTCTTTATGGATCAGTGCGGTTGTCTTTGTTAATCCCTGGATGAGGCAGAAACGGAGCTGTCGCTGCTGTATTTCTCTCAGCGCTGTGGTTTAAATCATAGAGTCGACAGGCTTTCTGAAGTCGGGCCAAACATGCGTTTTAAGTGGTCCTGCTGTGTATTTTTAATGTTCTGGCGTTTGATGAAAGACGCGGTTCAAACTGAGTGTTAGCTGCTGTCAGTTTGAATCCATGTCAAGTTTTATTGTCGCCTTTAGCATTGTGACCTTCAGGGCTGAACCTCTGTGTTTTCAGAGGGATAATGTTGTGTTTTTTTTTCTTTTTTTGTCGTCTTTGTAGCTATCCTTGGAGTGCACACACTGGTGACGAGTACACAAAGCTATGACGGGACCACCAGCACAGACGGCTACAACAGTATGTATCTGCTCTTTAACTGTTGCACTTTTTTAAAGGGCTCATATGCTACATTTGTCTTATTTTCTTATTCCCTTCTTTTACAATGTTTATGTAACAAAAGCTGGACTTAGACTTGTGCCTGTAATCTGGCTGAGATACACAAAAACAGCTTAGTCTCCATATGTGGACTGCATAGCCTGAGGTGAATGATATGTTTTAAACCTTTAGCAGTGTTTACGTCCTGCGTTGAATATATTTTATTTCAAAATTGCAAATACATTTTGGTTTGTAAATAATAAGGACTCTTAAAAATTATTTAAAGAATAAAGAATTAACTTTTCAACAAAAAAAGAAAAAAAACTGCCAAATAACAATAACAGCATTACAGAGACTTCTACAGAAGTCCAGAGAGGCCATGAGGTAGTTTTAATTTTCCTGATTAATATCTTCAGATAACGAGTTATCTTGTGATCTCAAGAAAGTTATCTTGAGATAATGAGTTATCTTGTGATCTCAAGAAAACATTGTTGTTATCTTGAGATAACGAGTTAATTATCTTGGGATCTCAAGATAACCAAGTTGTTACATTGAGATAACAAGCTAATTATATTGTGATCTCATAATAGTTATCTTGTGATCTCAAGAAAACGTTGTTATTTTGAGATAACGAGTTAATTGTCTTGTGATCTTAAGATAACAAAGGTGTTCCGTTGAGATAACAAGCTAATTATCTTGTGATCTTAAGATAACCAAGTTGTTATGTTAAAATAACAAGCTAATTATCTTGTGATCTCAAAATAGTTATCTTGTGATCGCAAGAAAATGTTATCTTGAGATAAGGAGTTAATTGTCTTGTGATCTTAAGACAACAAAGGTGTTACGTTGAGATAACAAGCTAATTATGTTGTGATCTCAGAAAAGTTATCTTAAGATGAGTTATCTTGTGATCTCAAGAAAAAAACGTTATCTTGAGATAACGAGTTAATTATCTTGTGATCTCAAGATAACAAAGTTGTTGTTATTTTGAGATCACAAGATAATTAAATCGTTATCTCAAGATAACAATCCAGAAAATTCTAGCAACAGCTCATGGCCTCTCTGGACTTCCGTAGAGATCTCTGGATATCCAGATTTTCTGGTGAATAGTCTTTTAATCCCCTTTTTTATTTGGAATTTCGCTCTTAAAGTGATAGTTTGAAAAATAACCTTCGCCGTTTTCCCCCTTATTGTAAATATAGTTGATCAGCAGAGACGCATTTAGTGTTTAAAGTTTTCTTCTTTATGTTCAGTACTGGAGCTACAAGGATACTGTAGCTAACAAGTAATGGAAGCTTATACCCCACCAGGTAGCTTGGTGCTAACAGCATGTCCTTTATTATAGATAACAGTGAGTCATACAGTGTCAGAAACCACATAATCAAGTCTATCAGAGATACTGGACAAGTCCAGATACTTTTCATGATGATTTCGGCATGCTAATTGGTGTACATAAGCTTCCATTACTTGTTAGCTACATTAGCCTCGTAGCTCAAGTGTTAACACTATAGAAGCAAACTTCAGAGACCCGACACGTCTTGGCTGATCAGTTAAAGTCAGAACTGTCTGGTGGTCTTGAGTATCAGGTCAGGAACTTTGGGGCTGATACAGCACATGGTGTTTTTTCACTGATTCCTGATTGAGGTTTTAGTGCCATCTCCACCAGCTGCCAGTCAAAACAGTCTCCTGCCTCAAAAGTGCTGGTTTGAGTTGCACTGGGCTGAATATGCTGTTTTACTGTACACACTGCAGAGCTGCACAGGCACTATGTTTATTATCTCTTCTGTAGCTTTATTATCTTTCACGTATGTTTTAATGTCAGGCTGCTCTTTCCATAACAGCTGTGACTGTTTGAAGCAAAGCTCAGGTTTCCTCTCCCTGATTATTTGTGCCGTTTCTGTTTTAGATGTAATTAAAGGGGAAAAAGTGAAGCCAGTTTTTGACGAGCCGCCCAACCCGACTAACGTGGAGGAAACTCTGCAGAGGATAAAAGCCAACGACCCCTCGCTCACGGAGGTCAACCTCAACAACATTAAGGTACTGACTCTAAACCTGGGCACTCAAATTTTATTTTGTATTTTGTTGTCATTGTACAAGAACAGTGATAGTTCGTTTAATGACTTCCAGAGTATTTTTAATTCGGCATTATTTATTTTTTACTCTGTGTTCACTTCTACAGCAACTACTCTTGCTGGGGTTTACAACAACAGATCATACAATAACAGCAACATATCAAAAGGAAAATACAAGAAAAAAAGAAAAGACAAATGTAAAATAAAAATCAGTCTAAAATAAAAGTGAGGTTTAGCAAGAAATATGTAGGAGTAAATCATTACTAGTTTAATTTTAGTGATATTAATTGTTGATCCATTACTAGCTTGCTAATCTAATCATTACTAGCGAAGCTTTACACTAATTCCAAAATCATTACTAGTTTAGCTTGAAACACTAATTACATTAATTATCAAATTATTATTAACCAGTTTTTTTTTTCAATGTTGATAAAGCATGTTTTGGGTATTTTGGATAAAATTATTGTTTTTTAAATCTGGTATTCGCAGCAGTTGCGATTTGCTGCACTAGGTGGCGATGTGCACATTATATTTCTTAGACAGAGAAGAACTCTAGCCATTCACTCGCAACAGCCACGCCAGGGAGACAGTTAGCAGAGTCAGAGCTGAAGTTATAGAGAGGTAAAATAGAAAAGGTCTGTGAGTTTAAGGAAAATACGTTTAGTAGATTATAATAAATTTTATTATATTCGTTTATTAGTTACGTTCTATTTTGATTCATTTTGTATATCGCACCTAAATAACCCTTTTGTTTTCTTTGTGTGGTAAATACTGTGTGTTATGTAATGTATGTAATTATCCATCGCTATCTATATTAAATATGGGAAAATACATGGCGTGTTTTTTTTAGCCGCATTTAGGTACTGATTCAACTTTACATTCATACACTGATTTAACCTCATGTGTGTTTTATTTTCTAGAACGTTCCCATCCCCACACTGAAGGACTTTGCCAAAGCCCTGGAGAAGAACACACACGTGAAGAAGTTCAGTCTAGCGGCGACACGCAGCAACGACCCCATTGCAGTGGTGAGTAAAACGGACGATATGATGATATGGTTCATTTTTCAGCCTTAACCCTTAAATAGCCAGGGCCTACTGGCAGGGCCCCAAGTTTTATTATACCCTTCTATAACCTAAGAATAGCTCAGCCAGTTCGCACTGAAGTCCCTGTAGTTACTGAATAATAAGCCTTAGTGTGTAATAAGCCTGAGATGAGGTAAATGTGCTGCAGCTGTTTTCTGATGCACTTTATATGTTATTTCTTAGACTCTTAAAAAAAGATCGTTCTTCAAAGGGTCTTTAGTAAAGTGAACACTCCTTTAATCATGCTAAGAGTTCTCTGCGTGGTGAGTGGGTTCCTCAGGCTGATGGAGAGTGTGCGGTAGATGGATTTGTATAGCACTAAAAAAGGTTCTGATATTACATTGTCGAGCAATAGAACAAACCTTTGAGTGCTGTACAGAACCATCTACAACACAGTCTCCGTCAATCTGAGGAACGATTTACCATGCAAAAAAGCGTTCTTTGAGTGTATATGGTTCTATATAGAACCATTTTGTTTACTAAACCATTGAAGAACCATCTTTTTAAGTGTGAGTTCTCAAAAACTATATTGTGATACCTGTTGTGTAGCATTAGGGAAATAATATATAATATATACTTATAATGTTTTTTACAGGAGAAGGAAAAAACTTAATTTAAGTTAATGTTATGAAAATGTATTCCCAGTTATTTAGGATCATTTCTGTTGGTTCATATATATATATATTTTATATATATAAAGCTTTACATTGTATTTCCATTGTATTTCATAATAAATGAGCTAATATAAATGGTCTGACGTTATTTGGAATGCGGTATTTTTACCTTAAAAGTTTCATTTTTATTCATTTTTTCCATCAGGAAGTGTAGTCGGTGCCTTGAGCCAGGTCAGCGATGTCTGTCTCAGAGAGAGAGAATGTACTTCATCATTTCTAACATGTTTGCTTTTTTTACTTGGAATGATTCTTCAGGGACTTCAACTTGTTTTTCTTGCTAAACTGTTTGCGTGTGCACATTTGTTCATGCACTCGTGTGGCCTTTTGTGCGCTGTAGGCTTTTGGAGACATGCTGAGAGAGAATAAGACGCTGAGGAGTTTGAATCTGGAGTCGAATTTCATCACCAGCGCTGGAGTTCAGGCGCTCGTGGAGGCTCTGCGAGACAATGACACGCTCTCCGAGATCAAGATCGATAACCAGGTACAGTCAGGATGATCAGCCACTGATTTAGTGTTTTAAACTCCATCCCCCAGTAAAAGAAGCATTGATACTGTAAAATAATGACTACAGTAAAAGGACCTTTTTCAAAAAACAATCACAACTTACAGAACTGCAGTGGAGCTGCTTAGTACGTCCCACATCTGTCAGCACACAATGAACATTTTGTGGCAGATAACTGATAATATCAACAGATATTATTTTGTATTTTTTTATTTTATACATCAGTAGTTTCAGTTTTCACACTTCTTAAACCTACATAAACAGCAGAAACTCTTCACATTGTTATATATAAATATTGTAGCACTGGAGATGGAGTTCTTTGCAATTTTGTTTTCTGATTGACTCCTTTTTTTTTTTCAAAATTTATCTCAGTAGAAAAAGTCTTGCATGTTATTCTCATGCTAGAATTGTTTTGGATCTATTTTACTTGTTTTTGTTATTATAACCACGATCATGTTCTCTGTTCATCTGCGGTAGATTAAAATCGAATCCCGAAAATGTTTAGGATTCAAACTCAAAAAATGCTGCTAATTATCATTGCATTATGAGGCTTATTTTTACTGATACTAATAAAACCAGAGATGGTCTGGTTGAAATGGAACTGTAATGTTATTAACTTTATTCACTAGTATAACTGTAAAAGTATTATTGTTTCAAAAATACAAATCACTCAAGTTTACTTCCATAAATGAAAAATAATAGTAGTGTCTGCTCACCTCTGGTTTTATTGTGCTGATAAATGCTCTAATCCCACCCCTACACCCTAAACTCTAAAAAAGATGGTTCTTCCCAGGTCCTTTAGTAAAGGAAGTGGTTCTAAATAGAACCTTGAACACTCAAAGAACACCTTTGCGTAATTAAATGATTCTTCAAATTGATGGAGAATGTGGTGTAGATGATTCTATATGGAACCTTTTTGAAAAGGGGTCTATATAGTGCCAAAAAGGGTTCTTCTGTTGTTACGGTGTCAAGCTTGTAACAATAGCAGAACCCTTTTTTGGTGCTGTATAGATCCATATATAGTTGCCCACCTCTAGTTTTACTGTGCTGATAAATGATCTAATCTCAGCCCCACCCCTTAGTTAAATAAGCGCATTCTCGTAAACATGACCTCATTTGCGAACACTTGGACAACAAACAACACATTCATGATACAAGAAGGTTTGTTGGTGTCAAAGTGCAAAATGCAAAACTCATCTTTCCAGTTTCATCCTCTGTCGGCCTGGCACTGGATTTTTTTACCATGTTTTGTCTTTTGTCTTAGATGTATACTGAAATAAGCGCCCTGCAGACTTCTGCCATGATAAAAGCTGATAATACCTGTCTGTGAAATACCCATGATCATGATTTCAGCGTGTACCTTCAAAGGTCCCCCAACTGCTTCTTAAAAGCTCATGTTACTTTCCTTTACTGGTTTTTGTTTGTTGACAAAACTGCGTAGAGCAATGTCTACTTAGGGAAACCGTATGACCACTTAAGATAAAGATCTGGGCTGGTATATACAGAGAATTTCAGAGTAAGATTACGGATTAGATTCCACGTCTGTTTGTAGATATTGTAGTCCCAGGAGACTCAGAAGTTCCGCCCACATAGTTATATGAAAGGTCTGCACAACAAAAAGCCTTTCAGACTGGATTATAGAATACAAGTTACTCTGATTTTGTAAGTTGACACACTTTCATTCAACAGAAAATCCAGGGTCATATTGAACGGAGTTTAAAGTTGGCTGGCTGAACTAATAGACGTGGGCAGTATGATATTTTATCATGATCATGATAAATTACATCGCAAATTTCTATATGTATCATGGATATTGGCAGCTATGGAACGCTGATTGGCTATGTTTACAAAAAAATTTGAATTAAATGAATTTTTCTATAAATGTATTTAATTTGATTTAATCACATTTATTTTTTATTATTATTTTCTCCACCTTTTGTTTTCATTTTTTTTCTTTCTTTTGCTTCTGACTTTTGGCACATTTGTACAGGGGGTGGTTCTAGGGTGTTCACCTGCAGTATCTATTGATCAGCAGGTCTTTTAGCACTTAGCCACGCCCACTCTGTGACTCAGGAATGCCTAAATAATGGCGGACCGCGTCATACTGATTGCAGTACTGATTATGAGCAATGTTTGTCTCATTCCTTTTAAACTGTAACACATGTTGGATTTAGGACAGGACAGTGTGTGAAATATAAAATAAAATCACGGTACTTTTCGTGGTTGACAGCATTTTTTAATGTGGACTATTGGTTCATTTGTTCTGGTCTAACTCAAGAGTTCAAGAGGCTTTATTGTCATTTCAGCTATATAGAAGTACACAGTGACAAAAGACTTACAATAAATACAATAACACAGGCAGTACACGGTACTGAGTATATGTGGAGCTGTTCAAAGCAGGATACATACTATGACATATTGGCAGATAGCCTAGCATATATGAGCATAGCAGTCGCTGAGGTAGCAACCAGAACAACAGCAACGGAATACAGTTCATTTGGTTTATACTGTATTCTAGTAGCTGATATTGTTATGAAAATATCAAATCTTAGAATAAACATCATGCGACATACTGTATGTCATAAGAATGTCTTCAAGTATAGTGATTTTTTTTTATTGCCCACTGCTGTTGAGCAAGAAAGCCTCTCACATTTTATGAATATTAGACTCTGGGATGTTTTTTTGCTGAACTCTTATGATGCTGATGTTTGTTCTTCAGAGGCAGCAGCTGGGCACCACAGTGGAGATGGAGATCGCTAAGATGCTGGAAGCGAACACCAGCATAGTGAAGTTTGGATATCACTTCACTCAGCAGGGCCCGCGGGCCAGAGCTGCGGCCGCCATCACCAAGAACAACGACCTCGGTAACACGCACACATACACGCATTCAGGCACTGATACAGAACTCGCTGTGTATTCTGTAGATATACAGAAGCAGGCAAAAGTTTGGAGACACCTGTTATTATTTATCATTTTACTGTTTTCCACAGTATTATTAGAATAATAATGAAGACTGTGAAAGAACACATAGGGACTTATGCAGTGTAGGGATGCTCACCGATATTGGAATATATAATTATATATAATTATAATTAAAATTTACTAGCAGATATTTTTATGCAAATAGTAGATGATGTATTTATTGAACTTTGCATGTTATTCATTTTACTGCATAAATAAATATTATGTATCTCTGTATTGCTAATCCAGGTGCATGTAGTGCCACTTTTTACGTTCCTTAAATGTTTGTAAAGCAACATCAGCAGAAAATGTACATGATAAATGTCAGATATCAGCATCGGCATATCTCTCTTAAATGTGTATTCCTAATGCAGAGGCTAGTAAAGTCTTAAATCAAAACTTCTGTTTTGATTTTTCAGTTTGGAAATATGTCTATACATCAAAATCAAAGTATTTAGGTTTTTCTTTGTCTTAATTTCAGCATGAATCAAAATTGTGCTCTCTATTATAAGCAACAAACGTTCAGTCAGTCGTGTCCAAACTTTTGACTGGTACTGTATACAGACTGTAAATGAATCAGTATCAGTGTTCATCACTATTCACTGCTGCAGATGGAGATCATGGTGGTCACTCTGATGAAAAGTGCTGTAAGAGCTGAGTCTCAGTCTGACAGTGATTTTAGTCCTGAGGATTTACAGCAGGGAACACTTAAGTCATGGTTTAGCTGGGTGGGGGGGGAGATAACTGTTTAATGTGGTGGGGGTGGTGGGGGGAGGTTGGTAATTTCTGTGGTCCCTGCTGATGGCCCATTTCCTGTTCTGGGTGGCTGAAATTCTAACTAAAATCCCACCAGAACCCCCCACCCAGCTCAGACCACTATAATACTACATTAAGGTCTCTCTGTCTCTTGCTCTCCCTCTCTTTCTCTGTCTCTTTCTCCCTGTCTTTCTTTTTTTTAATCTCCCCCTCTATCTATCTATCTGTCTATCTATCCGTCTATCAGTCTGTCTATCAATGTGTATCTTTTTGTCTATCTATCTATCTATCTATCTATGGCCTTCTTTTATTTCTCCTTTCTTTCTCTCTTTCTCTCCTCTATTTTTCTCTCCACTCTTACTCTGTATGTGTCTCTTTCTCCCTCTCTCTCTCTCTCGCTCTCTCTCTTCCTCCCTCCCTCTCCCTCCCTCTCCCTCCCTTTCTCTCTCCCTCTCCCTCCCTTTCTCTCTCCCTCCCTTTCTCTCTCTCTCTCTCTCTCTCTCTCTCTCTCTCTTGCTCTCTCTCGCTCTCTCTCTCTCCTCTTAGAAAAAGGAAACGGACCATTCTGCTCCTTCTCAAGAGACACTCACTCTGTTTATTGGATGTACTCCTTTTTTCCCTCATTTTTTCATCTCATGTTTCACTTGATTTTACTTTTTGTTATCATTTACTTCATGCGTGGTTTGATGTCTTACTGATTTCCTTGTTTTGTTTTGTTTTTTTTTTCTCTCTGTTGGTAGAGTTGTTTTTCTGTTGTCATCCCTCTCTCCACTCATCTAAAGCTGGAATTCCTCTCCTTCGCTCCTCTTCTCCATGCCTGAACTGCAGCTCTGTAGTTGAGTGTTTAGTGTGTGTGTGAGGTACCGTTAAGTCACACTCGTCTGTGGTCTGAGGTCAATTTTCTCTTCACTCCGTGTGACTGAATGTTCACTCTGTTTAAGCATGTACACTGACCATGTTTTAATCACCCACAGGTTTGCAGTGTCAGTACACAATCTGAAGCCTTAAAGTTTAATCCCAGCCTGAACTGACTATGATGAACTTTTTAATGATTGTAAGAATGCTTCAATTTCTTGGGTGCATAAACTATGTTCCCATATACAAACAAAATAAATCAATTTTGAAATATTTATAAAATGTCTTCAAAAAAAATTATATCTGAAGGAGGTACTCTATATTTTACAGTGGTATTATTTACAGTGCTAGCCTATACTTCACAATGGTAGTTACTACTATTTGGTAGATTGTATTTCACAATGGTAAGTCTATACATCACAGTGGTATTCTGTGCTTCACATTAGTAGTCTGTAATTCACATTGGTAGTCATTATGGTGCTATGGTAGTCTGTATTTCAGAACAGAAGTCTAGCCTATGCTTCACAATGGTAGTCTATGCATCACAATGGTAGTCTATGCATCACAATGGTATAATTTACACTGATACTCTATATTTCATGATTGTAGTTGCTACTATGTTACAGTATTCTGAATTTTACAGTGGTAGTCTATACATCACAGTGAAAGACGACTTCACAATAATAGTCTGTGCTTCACTTTGGTAGTCATTACTATGATATGATAGTCTGTATTTCACAATAGTAGGTTATACTTCACAATGCTAGCCTGTGCTTCACATTGGTAATCTGTGCATAACAATGGTAGACTGCTTCACAGTGGTGGTCTATACTTCACAATAGTATAATTTACATTAGTGCTCTATTTTTCACAATTGAAGTCGCTACTACGCAGTGGTGGTCTGTATTTTACAGCAGTAGTCTGTACTTCACACAGGTACTCTATGTTTCACAATTAGGCCAGAGACTTAAGCACAATGGTATACTATACTTCAGAATGGCAGACTTTACTTCTCAGTGCAGTACCATCATAAAAGATGTTTTTGTTACATTTGCCACAGTGTGTCCTTTAAAATGACTCATGCAGTTTCTTGTCACTTAGTAACAGTGTAGCAGTCAATAGATCAAATTGGTGGTGGGATCAATAGTTAATGATTGAAAGAGCATCAGTTTGTTCAGGCTGTTGAAAACACTTCAGATTGTGTATGTATTGAATTTTGAGAGTTTTTTTCAGTCACGCTGGTTTGCAGTGTGTTTAGCACAGATGTGTGTCACTAGCTTTTCGCAGCTCACGGTCACCTGTTATTGTGTGGAGTGTTTATGACTCACCTGCCCGTTCTAGTGTGTGTGTGTGTGTGTGTACGGGTGTAAAAGACTGGTAACTTATCAGGTTCTGATTGCTGCTCTTATCTGACCCACAGATAACCTGAAGCTCTGCCAGAATGAGTCTATATATGTCGAGGTTTCTTGGACATCTAATCTAATTTTGCCTTTAACCTTTAGAAGTCGTCACCAGCACGCTGTAATTTTTTACAACCTATTTTTCACTCATAGATCATTGAAGCAATTCTGTGGAAAGGGAGCATTTCCATAAAAGGAAAAAGATGCAGTGCAGACTCTGATCGATACAGTCGATACAGGATGTAAATTTACACCATGCACTTAAACTGTGCCTTTCGTTGTGTAATACTTTTTTATATTAGTGCATTTTCTTAGTTTGACACATCTGTAGTAGTGCAGGCTAAAGCCCATCTCTGGTACACTTCTGCTCTGACACACTTTAAAATGCAGCTTTTGAACAGCTTTTAAAGCGAAATGTTCAGCAGCCAAACTGGACAGGGCTCGCAGGAGAACCAAATCAGCTAGTAGCAAACTAAAAAAAAATGCCTCCAGTCTAGTGCTGCTGCGTATAAACGCTGCTAAATGACGTATCACACACCGCATTGCAAAGACTTCAGGATGTCTGCACTGAAAACAAGACTTGAACTAGTTACACATAATATGTCTATAAAATGTTTAAATTTAATATTTGTAGCCAACAGCAAAAAGAAAAAACAGGTAACCAAATAGCAGTAGCAGTTTCTCAGCCCCTCTTCAAAGCAGGGTTATGAGGCTATGAAGAGGGGCTGAGACACACGTCATCTGCCTCTCACTGTGTGGAACTGGTGGGTTCATGTGTCCGTCTACATTCTGTGTGAAACTGACCAATGGACACTCAGGAAATCACTAAAGACTGACCCATCACACTGGAAACCCTTCATTCTTCATTCAGTCCACATTGGAGACTCATGTGAAATGGTGTGCAGAGAGTTTACAGCTGCTGAAGTTGCTGCAGCAGTTTTGGAAAGTAGTGATGAAGATAACGGAGCATTTTGATATGAAACATATAAGGATCAAGTTAAATGAAGAGCCTTTAAAGGAGAGTTTAAGAAGATATGAACAAATCAGGAGAAACAAACTCAGACTCTCAACTCAGGTTATAGTGGGTCTGTGGTCAGCGCGCTATCTGAGCGTCCAGTACGGCAGGGTTCGCCATGGTAACGAGATCAGTGTTTGACTAACTCGTGTGGGTCTGTTAATCTCCTTAGATGAGCAGATCTCGTTAAACAGTCTCTCCGCTCACATAGCATGTGCCTTGGACCAGCGAGAGAGAGAGAGAGTGAGCCTGCTGCTAACACTGCTGAGAAATTTAACATTGTTTAAAACAACAGTTCATCCAAAAATCAAATTTACTGTTCCCACCCATCCGCCTACACCCCCACCACAAACAGCATCAATCAGCCAAGGTGTGTTTGATGTCTGTAGTTTGCTTCTTTGGTTTTAGCACTGGAGCTATGAGGATAATGTAGCTATCAAGTAATGGAAGCTCATTAGCATCACCAATTAGCATGGTGCTATCTGCAGGCCTGAATCATCACAATCTCGCCTCAAACTGTGTGGAGATGTTATAGGGCCCATAGCATGAAAAAATATATATATTAATAATATATTTTTGGGTTTGATGTAGTGTGTAAACATTATAGTTTCAAAACATACAGTCCACTCCTCAGGCCGTATATCGTTGCTGTCGGAAAAAAAGACTCGATTTTGCGATTTTTAGTTTTATGCGTAATTTGAGTTCTGCAGCCGTCCTTTACATTGTGTTATAGCTTCATGATAATTAGACCAATAGAAATTCTCCAAAATCACTTTGAATAAAACATCTTTACATTAATTTACATTGAAAGTAAAGTTTCCTTTTTGGAGATACTTGTTTTTCTGTGGACAGCAACAATATGTGGACACTAAACTGCAAAAACAGCCTTTTTTGATATTTTTTTTTTTTTTTACAAAATCAGCACACTTGCATACATCCATCTACCTAGCCTACAGCAGTTTAGCCCCACCCCTTCACACTGAAGTTTTAAGGAGTGTTTCAGCCTAGATTGTAGACCACTGTAGTCGTGTCATCATTTTGTAGTCGGCGCCATGCTCTAAACGCTCAATCTTAACGCCGAATCTAAACTCCATTTCTCTATGGCCAGAATGAAAAGGGTTTTCGAAAAATCGCCTCTATCGCACATTGTGGTAAATAAAAATGTTCAGAACCCGATACGTTTTGTCCTGTGAACATTCTTCTCTTAAATATCACTGGATCCCCTGAATTACGAGGTCGTTAAAGAGTTGAAATATGAATGTTGCTACATGTTACCTAATGCTACTGTGCACTGAATTCACGTCATTAGACTGGCAGCCTCCTTAAGCAGGTTTTACCAGTGTGGTAGCGTATTGCACATTGACACTTCAGCTTCATGGAGAATTGAAAGGCATGATATGAGCATATGAGAGTAACATTAGCTTCATTTTGCTGTTTCACAGAACCCGAAAGGTCATTGTTTTGTCCCGTTTGCTAATGTTTGTGATAGCTAATCATAACTGCTGCACGATTTAAGGTGTAACGGAAAAAATTCAGACAGGAAGCTGACAAAAAAGAAGCTAAATTCAGCCTCGTAGTTTTAACACGGGTAGTATTTTTTGATAAGGAGTTTTTGGCTGAATAGCTTAAAATATCCTATCCAGAGGCTTCTTTTACAAATATACCCGTAAATATGCGCTATGGTAGAACATTTTGATAAGGTAGCACAACTCCTCAGAACACCACCATAGCGTGCCTTAGTTTCATGTTGCTTAGTGACATCAAATTGATGCGCAGTAGCTTTAGCTTGCATGTAGCAATATACTAATTAAGGCTCTTAAACGACCTCGTAATTCAGAGGATCCAGTGATATTTGGGAGAAAAATGTACACAGGACAAAACAGGTGAACATCTCTATTTACCACATGTTGCAAAAGAGGCCATTTTTTCGAAAACCCCATTAATTCTGGCCATAGAGAAATCGAGCTTAGAACGCAGAGTTCCTAATATGGGCATAACATGGACTACAGAATGACACACAACTACAGTGGCCTATTAAATGAGGCGCAATACAGGACAGAGCAGAGCTTGTTTACATATGTCAGTCTTAAAGGCACAGCCTGTTTAGTTCTAAAAGGAAGAAGAGAGGTTGAGAAATGGTAATGTAGACATGAGTTATAACTGTTTTGGGTACAATCCAAACAAAACTCATCCATAAGTGGGTAATTGGGGGATAAAATACGGTACAATACAAGAAAAATTTAGAATATGGACCCTTTAAGTTCTGGTTTAGACAATTTAGGCATGCAGTTAGCACCATGCTAATTGGTGGAGTATAAGCTGGTTCCCGTGAACAATTTAGTAAGTTTCTCTAGAACGGAGCGTTTCACACCAAACCACTCTGAATGACTTTGTTTACATCCTAACCATCTAATTATGCAGGAATTTTGAATAAATGGTGGAGTTCCCCTTTAGCTCAAGAAGGTTTGAGGAGAGTGGTTGATCGTCGTAGCTCCAGCGCTAAAACACCACAAGCAAACTCCAGACACCAAACGTGTCTTGTCTGATCGTCTACATTTGGTGTAAATTAGATTTTTGGCTGGACTGTCCCTTTAAAATGACTCACTCTATGATCCCTGGTGTTCACTCTGTCTCTCTCCTTTTCTCTCACTCTGTTTTTCAGTGCGGCGGAGGCGTATGGAGAGGGACGCGTAGCGGATCGTCTCGTTCGTTCTCCTCCACTCTCGCTCTCTCTCTCTCTCTCTCCATCTCTCCGGATGAGTCCTGTGCCAAACTACGAGAGAGAGAGAGGCGTTCTAACCCTGAATAAGGGACACAACTGGAAAACCCACCATTTGGCTCTCAACCACCTGGATTTGTTATTATATTATTATCGTCATCATTGTTATTGTTGTTGTTATTGTTTTTACAGCTGTAAATCTTTTTTTTTCTGTAGCTTAGTCATTCCGTTTCATTTTTTTTTCTTTTGACATTTGGTGTTTTGGTGTTTTTTTTTTTTTTGCAATTTGAAAAAAAAAGAAAGAAAACTCTTAAGCTGAACACAGGGATCATGTACATTTCCAACACTCGTGCACCATTTATAACCTTAAAAACGGGAATAAAGTGAAAGGCTAGCAACACTAGTGAATAATCAAAGCTGGAAGCTGAATGAGAAAGACAGAGAGAGAAAGAGAGAGAACGAGTGCAGCTGAGAGGTTTTTACTGTTATCAGTGGGTTTGGCTGCTGGGGAACTGCAGTGATTGCTCCATATCCTGCAGGGAGGGACACGCCCGCAGTGAGAGTGCATTTTTCTTCTATTAGACTCGCTGTAGGAGCGCGTGCAGCTGTTTTGTGAAGCTTGTGTATGTGTGTGTTCAACTTGGTTTTGCTTTAAAGCAATAGTCTGGCAGAAAATCAAGCTAAAAAATAATCCCCAACCCCCACAGTCATTCACAAAAGCACTGGAGCTACAAGGCTAATGTAGCTAACAAGTAATGGAAGCTTATACCCCACCAATTAGCATGTTGCTAACTGCAGGCCTACATCGTCACAGGCTCATCACAAACTGTGTGGAGTAGTTCAGTATCTCTAATAGACTTGATTATGTGGTAGCTGGTGTGATACTAATTGGTGGGGGATGAGCTGGTGCAGTTAAGGATGTATAGGCAAAGGTTTGTGCACCCCTGGTCAAATGACATGTTGATTTTCTAAGTGTAAATAAGTGAAGTACAGAGACACACTTCTGCACTTTTTAACACACAATTACTGTTATTTACTGAATTGAACATATTTGTGGAAACAGAAGCATAAAAATTTGCCTTTGCAGTAGTTTTGGCACATTTTATTTTTTTTCCAATATGTTTTTCCAACTTAGTGAAATTGTGCACTAAAATTTGCAGAAAAATGCCAAATTCAAGTGTGTTTCTGTAGAGAATGTTCACTTTTCCCATAGAAAATCAACAAAACAAGTAGTTTGACAGTTTTTTTGGAACACACACACACACATACATACATACATTGTCTTATCAGGAGCTCATTTTTAAGCATTTCTACTGCAAAAAAATAAAAATTAAAAAGTGACCCCAGCAACTAATAAAGGGAATTAATTTTACGTCTGATCTTCAGTTGCAGTTATAGGCAGTTCAGTTTAGCACTGAAAGTGACTGCAGATGGTAAGTGAGCGCTGCGGTTGTGATGTTATAGATTACTAATGCTCTGGTTGACCATCAGCTTCCTCTGAAGCTCTGCTGTCCTGAACAGAAGGCTGACTCAGTTGATACACTCTTACCCAGTCGTGTGTCTGCTGTCTGATTGGACGCGGTGGAGGTTTTTGGTTTGTGTCTGGTTTTGCAACAAGTTCAGCGAGACAGCATGAAGGAGGAGGAGGAGGAGACATTTGATCTTGCTTTGCACCAGGAGTTCTAGATGGAGTAGAACGAAGGTTTTGTGGCTTTTTAAAGCTTTAGCTCTTTTTAGAGTAGGTAACCATGGAGACCGCAGAGGCTGAACAGCTACAGTCAAAGCTCGACATGCGCTCTCATATGATAGTTTGGTGAAAAATCAGATGTAGTTGATCAGCCAAGGTGTGTTTGGTGTCTAAATTTTGCTTCTTTGACTTTACACTGGAGCTAATGTGGTAGCTAATGCAGCTAACAGGCAGTGGAAGCTTATGTACACCACTTAGCATCAGATGCATTGAGATTACTTAGCAACTCAAGACAGTTTGAGGCGAGGTAGTGATGATGCTAATTGTTGTACACAAGCTTCTGTTACTTGTTACCTACATTAGCCTTGTAGCTTAAGTGCAAAACTAAGGAAGCAAACATGTTTTGTCTGATTGAGTTTGGAGGAAGAGAGAAAAGAAATCTGGTAATTTTGTCAATTATTTGTTGCTTTAAACTTTTAAAGAAAAGGCACATTTTACCAGTGTACTCTTACTCTTACATCAAGAGCACTTGCGCATTAACTATATAAAAGCTAAACTCCTGACTGTGTTTGCTGTTAAACTAGCGATTGTGGAAATTTGTCAGATTGGATGGACTTATCCTTTGATACTCTAGCATGAAGTCTGTTTTTGTTTTGTAAACCTGGAGTCTGTCTCACAAAGCATGTTCAGCTTTCACATTCAGGGTTCCTGTCTCTGTTGCAGCTAACAAGTGAGACTGTGGTTAAAGGGGAGCTCCACCAATTTTTCAAAATTTCATTCAGAGTGGTTTGGTGTGAAATGCTCTCTTCTGTAGAAACTTACCAAGTCAGAATTGTTCACAGTGGTGGTGATAGGAACCAGACGTCCACCTCTAAAAGCTCCCTCACAGAAAGTTACTACATGAAATGGTTATGAATTCACTGCCTGATGACTGAGACACTGTTATGATTTGAGAAGATTTTGGCCTTAAAATTCATTCATGGTGGAGGGATACATGCAGGATGTTGTGAGACAAAATAGTCCCCAAAGAAAACTTGTTTCAAATTGTTAAAATTGTTTTCATGATAGCTTTGCAAGAAGCTTTTGGCTTAAATTTTTTTAGATATATAATCTTTGCCCTGGTTGGTCAGAAGCTTCTCCCTGATTGGTCATAGGCTTCTCCCTGATTGGTCAGAAGGCTGTCCCTGATTGGTCAGAAGGCTGTCCCTGATTGGTCAGAAGCTTGTCCCTGATTGGTCAGAAGCTTGTCCCTGATTGGTCAGAAGGCCATCCCTGATTGGTCAGAAGGCCATCCCTGATTGGTCCAAGAGCTGATCTGAAATCCTGAACTTGACTGGTCCTGGAGCAGGCTAGTCATGCAGTACAAGTTGCCGTGGTGATGTAGCTCAGTCAACTGTTTTGACACAAAATCCAGGCTTAGAGTGAACTAAGCCTAAAGTTATCTTGCTAAGAAAGGAATCCTGCTTCGTGAGACAGACCGCAGCTTAAAGCCCAGTGCACTTTCTTTAGCTGGACCATATAGGGGATCATGAAGCAAATGCATGCTTTCAATGTGAACATCTGGACCAATTTCATCTGTTCTTGCTTTTTTTTTGTTTTGTTTTTGTTTATTTTTGTACACATCAGATTGGAAATCGATGATGGAGCCTTGTGTATCAATCCATATTTGTTGTAACTTGTCTTTTTTGTTTTTCCTGTGAACAGTGGAAAGATTGTGGTTTTAATTTGTTTTTAGGGGTTCTGGCTGATTTTTCGGGGTCCGGTTCTAAGGGTCGGGGGTTGGCAGGACCATGCTGAGTGTGGATGTATGAATGTGTGTGTGCGTGTGTGTGGGCGAGTGTGTGCGGTCCTTCAGCCTGTGAAAACTGTGTATGATCTCTTCATGTTAATTCTAATCATCCATCTCATTGAAGCCTCTTCTTCAGATCTTCCCACACAGGCGTATATATGAATGATGTAAGTGTATAAATGTTACTGCACGTTCACAGCTGTAACAGCTGTTTTCTTACTCCACTGTTGTAGTGCAGGATTGACTGAAGAAGAGGATCTATAATAATACTGTACTGTTAAACTACACAACGCTGCGGCACTGTCTATCAAAGATATTCAATAAAAACCTTTTTACATACTCGTCCTCTCCTCAGTACATACATACAGACTTAAACGTGTGTGTGTGTGTGTGTGTGTGTGTTGTACATATATAAATTCTAGAACCACAATAATCCATTGAGAACAACACTGAGAATTCTAGAACCCCACTAATTCATTGAGAACACAGAATTCTAGAACCACGCTAGTTTATTGAGAACAACACTAAATTCTAGAACCCCACTAATTCATTGAGAACAACACTAGGAATTCTAGAACCACACTACTTCATTGAGAACAAAACAGAATTCTAGGACCACACTAGTTCAATGAGAAAAACTAAGAATTCTAGAACCACTATAATTCATTGAGAACAACGCTGAGAATTCGAGAACCATCCTAGCTCATTGAGAACAACATTGGGCCTCATTCAGCAATATCTTCCCAAGTTTGTTCTTAAATGTGTTGAGAAAGATCATGAGAAAAGGTCCACATCAGATTCATGACGTGTTCTTAAAGCTCAGAACCGTTCTCACTTTTGTGCTCTTGAGTGTGTAGATTCTGTTCTTACCTAAGAACAAATCCCAGATAAGAAAACACTGGTGAACGTCAGATTCTTCATCAAAAAAACTGCGCAAGTGGGTTTTAAGAAGAAATTTCTTAAGAACGTTTGGTGAACGAGGCCCCTTGAGTTTGAAACAGGCTGTTCCTGATTGGGGAGAGGAGAGTCTGAATCTTCAGCAGTGTTTACACAGTACAGCTCACTCAGTTCAGTAACAGTGAGTAACATTCAGTTTTCTATATATTGGCCCTTTAATTTTAAACAGCTTTTTTTTCCCCCACAGTGTGGTGGTCAGGGTTGCAGGTGCCCCCTCTCTAATTAGCTCCAGGTTTGGAGGATTGTTCAGCATGCCGGGGGTGTGATGTCATCGAGATTACATCATCCTCCAGAACCACAGAGCTTATCTCACACTGTGAACAGTACAGGCCTGTCTGTGGCTGCAGGGGGAAATGACTCACTCTAAACTTCGTGCTCGGGTCTGAAATGCTCTTCCTTTACATTTTCATGCTGTTCACTAAGTCCTGTTTTATGAAAATATTGATGATTTTTTGCTTTATAATATTCAGTTTCCTCTAAAAGTCTCTCTGGGCAAAAGTACAGAATTCAGGCTGCTGCTGTTTTTAGCTTTGTTAACCTACTTTTGTCCATGTTTATACATAATAGAGTGTCATGCAGTTTCAGAAAGTCTATTAGAGAACACCTAAAGGGAAGGTCATCCAACTTTTCAAAATTTCCTCCATAACTCAGTGTGTGAGCTGTAAACAGAATGATTCAGAGTGGTTTGGTGTGAAATGGTTCAGATTTCTTTACAGTGGTGGTGATAGGAACCAGGAGTTACCATGACTACAACACATTTTATTTACTATCCACAACCACCAGTGAACCAACACATGTCTTCTGGGTTT